CAAGGTATTGACATTTTTGAAGGGACTATGCCATTTACAATGACTTGTCAAGGTATTGACATTTTTGCAGGGACTATGCCATTTACAATGACTTGTTTGTTAATATTATTGTTGTCACTACATATATAATTCATATTGTTGAGTGTAGCGTTTTTTATGATTTGAATTCTCAAAAGCTGCATCAGTTTGTTTTCGTCTTATTCATGTCTAAATCACACCAAATGTGATAAATATAATTCAGTAAATGTAATCATTTGCCAGACTGTATTAACAATTCATGACATCATTTATGTGAAATGCTATTATTCGCTCTCTGTCTGTAGATTTTGAACAAATTTTGAATTTGGAACCATCCAACAAGCAGGCAGTCAACGAACTCAAAAGAATAGAACAGTTAATGAGAAAAAGAGAAGAAGATGAAATTAAGAAAGCTAAAGAAGCAGAAAAGGCAATAGTGAAACCAATTAAAAAACTTCCACATGAAAGATCAAAGGTGAGTGGATATTTCTCTTGTTAAATTTCCCACCTCAGTCTTCTGATGTTAATATAAAATATAGCTGTCATGATACAATACTTGTCTAGAACATTTCTTCACCTTGAAGTGCATCATAACTAGGTTGCCTCTACTGTAAAATTTCTGTACATAGTGGGGTATGCAACTGTTTTATTTAACAAAATGTTTACATGTGGGCCTGTAGCTATTTGCTGAAACTCATAATTTAGTACTTTTCAGTTCTTCATCAATTGGAAAACATTGGTGGCACTGTTTATGGAAATTCTGTGTTTGAACAAAAGACATTGTAAACCAACAGAATATTTGCTCTTAATTTTCGGGGTGAGTTGGGGGGTGGGGGTGTTGGACTAGTGCCTATGCAGACTACATGTGGGTTAATTATAGTCGCCATGCTGTTTTTTTTAAGTTTAACAGGCACTCTTGAGGGCAGCACCTTGTAAACGTCACAAGATCAAAGGACAAGTGTCATTTACAAGATACTTACTAGAAGTATGGCCGACACTTGAAACAACATTTCATGCAAATAATGACTTATAACAATCTGATGAAAATGCGAAATAAATGCACACACTACTTTGTCCCATTTCTTCCAGTGAAGCATTATCATTTGCATAAAAGAAACACAAAAGGCAATATTCAGTCGGGCATATCACAAGGCAGTGAATGTATTCTTCAAACGTCATTTGCATTGCGATCCCTGCCAAATACCCCCAATACGAAAGTTGAGGTTCAAACCCAGAAAAAGAACAGAATGTTTGACCAAAGACATTGGAAAATCTAATGTCTTTGGTTTGACACTCAACAAGTGTATGAAATACTAATCTACATGTACATGTACACATACCAAAACTGTGGTTGTTACTAATTTGCATATGAACACATTCGTGTTGATTACAATTTGCATATGAAACTATGATTACTAATCTACGTAGAGACAAATAATCAAGTGTGAAGTTATAGAAATAAATTCATAGCCTGGACAGTTGGTCACATGACCAAGATAAATCAGTGAAAACTTTCTTTCAGAAACCGCTGAGGCGTTTACACATAGAAGAGATAGGGGGTACTGATGATGAAGAAGAGCAAATTAACACAAACAAACAAACTGAAGTCAAGCCAGTCGTAAAAGAAATACAGAAATCCACATTTACAAGCCCAGCTGATTTTGGTAATATGTGTAACACAGAAACAAAGCAGATGAATGGAATACTGGCAGATGAACATAAAGATAATATCCAAGCAGAACAGAACAGGTGACTATTAAAGCGGTGATAGCTGTGATTTTGAACATTATTTTGTTTAAATATAATCACATGGAGATGAGCAAATCTAATCGAAATAATATTTTAGATACAAAAGACAAACCTTACACAAGGCTAAATCACATAAAATGCAATGTGAAAACTAATGGTCAAGTAGTCACCATCGTTGAAACTGGTAACGTTATGGGAACCATAGAAATTACGACGTACACTATTATGGAAACGTTATGAAGAAAAAGACAATATTCGACCACGTTTGCAGACTGGTTTGTCAATTGTTTTCTCTAATAACATGTTATGTTTCATTTGCAGAGAAACGAGTACACAAAACGATTCAGACAATACAAAGATGAAATCCATTAAAGCATCTTCTTCTCCTACCACTGTACAAACTACTAGCAATAAATCACCATCAATTCCTGATGTTCCATCCACATCATTTCAGTTACTTGCTGATTGGAAATCATTACAACAACATCCTCAGCTACTTTATCAGTATTTCAAGGTATAGAATATATATATATTTATTTATTTATTTATTTATTTATTTATTTATTTATTCAAGGTACAGAGGCCAACAGCCTATAAGTACAAGTAATGTATGTCAAGAATGTATTACAGAGCGCTTAATAACTGTTTGTGCTACAATTTGCATGGTAACAACCCAAAACACAAATAAACAGAAACATGCATTACCATTACCATAATACACTTTAATGGTGTTCATTAAATGAATAAATTTGTCTATTGTGGGGAAAATAAGAAAATTCTCTGGGATATAGTTTATTCTCAAGGCATTATAGAATGGGCAAATCAAACAAAAGTGAAATTCATCCTCAACTTTGTTAAGGTTACAATTTGTAATGGTCTATCAGCTTCAATGCGCAAATTGTGTGCAGAGATACGAAATTTACAAAGACAAGTTCTGATTGATATATTGTCAACAATATTTGGATATTTTTCTTGACCAAATACAGTTTTAAATCAGTTATAGCCTTGATATTATTCATTGCTCATAATTGAATGAATGAACTCAGAATTATATTTGAAATGTATTAAGTTGTGGGGAGTTTGTTAATAATTGTTGAGTTCTTCCTGCGTACATTGTTGTTGTATACGTTCACTTTATATCCATTGTTGTTTCTATTACAGAAAATTCCAGCATCCAGTTTTCCAAAGTTATTCCAGCAGTCACTGGATGCTAATA